GAAATAGACGCGAAAAGTACGCGATGTCGTCGACGACATACTCGACCCCAAAGAGTTAAAAGCATATAACTAAGATCGGTGGATCTCATGGGGATATGGTCGATTTCTGATCCCCTCAAATTAACGTGATCGAGGCCGATCGATCGATCGGTGCACCCCTAATTTTGACTCTACTGGCCTTTTTATATCAGACCGGAATAGGAGCTTCTTTACTGGGAAGACTGACATGGAGCTTGTTCAGCACATCCAGGTTGACCTCCTAGGGCTGACCTCCTGGAACAGTGCCACAATGCCAGCACGAAAAATACTTCAAAGTCAAAAACTGACCCTGCATGTGCAACATCGTTGCCACATATACACAAGATATTTTTAGGGTGTGAATTGAGAAATATTATAAATTGTGAGAAATTTTTCACTCAGCAACATTTTTAAATTATTTTTATTATTAAATATTCCCACATTTGATATTCCCCCAGCTCTGATGTCATTGCCAGCACTGTGCTAGGGTGACCACCTAATCCATGTCAGGTGGGACACTATGAGCTACAACAGGATTTGTAAACTACCATTTCATACATTTCAATTAAAACGACCAGGATTTCACTTAAGCACTGGGTTCTTGCTGTATGCTGATTGGTCAGTCTCCTATAATCATGCATATGTGTCAGTAATGTTAATGCAAAACAGCTGGATGAGTCTTTCAATCTCGGAACTAACCAAACATTTTAGCAGAGCACAGAACCCTTTCAGCTTTAAAGCAGTTCGTAAAAGCTGAAGTAGCTCATAGTGTCCCTCCTGACATGGATTAGGTGGTCACCCTACACTGTGCCCACCTTTGCTCAGGCCCTGTACACTCAGATGACAGCCTCCTATGTTAAGCTGGCTAACTGCATTCACCTGCTCACAAGCTGAACTGGGATCAGTGGAGTGTCTGGCACGAACATCCTGGGCTGTCACAACTTTAAACATAAAAAGAACTGAAATTAGTCATTAAAAAAGGAGGGGAATTAAGGATGCCAACCCTAAGAAACTTAAACTTAAAATGTTTTTTTTTAAAACATTACCTGACCATGACAGCTTCTACATAACACACGGAGTCAGCACAAAACAGACGCTGGTCAGGTCTGTACCAGCAGCCATTTCCAGTCAGATCCTGACATGCCTCATCCAGCGGTGGTGGCTGACCACCATTTTTGGTGAAGCATTCTCCAGACTGCCTCCCCCCATTATAATTTCTGACCTGATCATATATTAGTCATTACTACAGATAGTATAGTAAATGCTCAAATATTCATTATTCTGTACTAAACATTTTCCATTGGTTGCTAATTTCAATCAAGTGTAGCCCTATTTAGCTTGTATCCTGAGCCTCTCATTGTGTAACTATTAACCTGGTGAGCTGATGCTTAGAAAGTGATACTGGAAAAAAAAATGTTTTTAACAATTTTCAACATGTTTTTCCCCATTGTGCCAAACCAGACAATATATGGGATGGGAGCAAAATCTAATCCTCACATTTTCTAAATTATTTAATTGGACGACAACACTGACATGTTACTTTTGCACAAAAAAAAAAAAAACACAAAATGAATGTTCTTATGTGCAGTATATAAATGGGATTAGCTACAATCAACAACAATAGTATCTACAAATCTAAAGATTTTTAACTCTAGGCTCCTTTGCATAGAGCTGGGGTGTGCAGTCTTATCCAGAAAGGGTCGCTGTGTATGCAGGTTTTCACTGCAACTCCCTAATTATATTACTAATTAGAGGACTGATTGACCTGGGTTTGAACAGCTGACCTAAAGGTTATCCTAAAAACCTGAATACACATCGGCCCTTTGTGGATAAGATTGTCCAATTAGCTTGTCCACAAACAAGGATTATTGCCAAACAAATCTTTATTGTTAAAACACACACACACTCCCAACTATATAGACACTACTTCTGTCACCTTAACACTATTGCAATTAATTGAAAATACTGTTGCCAAAGCAAATATGTTGATGAACTGATAAAAACAGCACAAATGTAAGTACAAAAAGTGCAGAAAAATGTGTAACTGTATTTGGGACTTAAAATGGAATACATGCCTCACTCTTATCTGCACTACCTCCAAAAAAATAACAATAGCATATTTCTAAACTCTATAGCAAACAAAAAGGTTCGTACACTAAAAATGCAGAATAATACATTCACTCTCTATCCTGTTGTTGGGCTGGGTCAGGCCAAAGGGTCTAATCAATGTCACATGCTACGTCCACCCTGGCAAGACAGTGTGGGAAGCATCCCCTGAGGTGGTGAACCGACCCCTGCAGGGACTCTATGGCTGGCATCACAAGCCATCTCCATAGCATGAAGTAAATCCACTTGTTCCTGTGGATGTCTGTCATATGTGAGATTGTCACAGTGTGACATTGCCCCCCAACGTAAGCCTGAGCCATATGTAACTAGGTGTCTTCCTCTTCTTACCCTATGACCTATTCCTCTCCTCTTACAGTTTCATCCTTTACCTCTTCCTTGGTGTCTTTACCGATTGTTTAGCTCCATTGTAACAAGCAAAGCGATTACCTCTGTTGCTGCATTATAGTTTTCTCATTGGTTCATAACTTTTGAGTAGTGTGCTGACAATTAAATTTCTTTGTGCTTAAACCATGACAATGGTGTGATCATTCTGTTTCTTTGAAGGTACAGGAGTTTTACCTTTTGAGTGGCAGTGCTCTCTGAATGACAGCATGAGGTCAGATGTGCTTTGAGATGACACTTGTGCTTAGGATTATGAAAAGTGTCTAGGGAAACTACAAATCCATGTTTATCAGGGAATTGTGTCTAAGCTTCTGCAAAAAAGTGTTTTCAATATGCCAACAAAATTTATGCTTTAGGGAACTGTCCACCCCTGCACTTAGACTTGGACATCATGGAATATGTATTAATGGAATATGTCAATCTTCTGTGCACTACCCACCAAAAACAAACAATAGTATATTTCTAAACTCTATAGCAAACAAAACATTCAGTACATTGAAAATGCAAAATCATACATTCACTTTGTATCCTGAATTAGCTATTTGTGTATTAGCAACTGGCAAAAAAACTGTAATAGATGACCAGGAAATAAGCAAAGAAAACACTAAGATTAACTAAAACAGGACATAAGCAAGTCTAAGCCAGTGATTCTCAACCTGGTGCTCACATTTTTGCTCGTTCTCAGTTGGGAGCAGAGTGTGCAACTCTGAACTTATTTGAAGGTGCAGCATTTGTGGATTAGCTGGTAGAACAAAGATGCATGAAAGCCTATGCTAGGGAGGACCGCAGGAGCAACCTGCCACCCTGAATCACCAACAGCTCCTTAGAGCAGCTATCCCAGGCTGAAGTAGGAAAAAGTAAGAACTGTTAGTTGTGAACATGAGCTACTTCACTTTTACATATCAAGTTCTTTAAAGAAACTAATACTTCTGAAACTGTAGTTCATGTAATACACATCAGTATTAATATACAGAAACATAATAAAAATTTACTACTTTGAAACATCAACACTGATACATTGCACAGTTCACAATAACCCTAAATAATATCCGATGGATCATAAAACATTTGTGGAAGGAGATTCCTTAAAGAGACTTAGAAAGCAATGAGGAGTTTTTCTCCACTACCAAGATTAAAACAATATTACAGCATTGTGTTTGATGAAAATAGTGCTACACTGGATGTCAGACAGTTGCACTACATCGATTCTCCAGCAGGTGGCTCGGTACATGGGAGTACGGGACCATGAGCACCACGAAATCACAGGTCATCGTCTGTAAGGGGACACAAAATGCAGCATAATAGCAGGGGACACTAAGTACTGATTAAATCAAAACAACATTCAGTGCAAGGCCATAAGTAGTAATGCTGTAGTAAGAACATTAACATACCTATCTCAAACAAAACACTTGAGTGCTAGGAGATTACAAGTGCTTTGTGAAGCATTTTCAAAGACAGAAAAAGCTCTGTTCTGTAAATAATGGCCTTGCCGTTAATGACGGACTGCGCAGTAACATTTTGCACTCAAGGTATTATGGATTTAGAGTTTTCGGGAGTTCCGTGTCCCACCTTGGCATCTGGAGAACTCCGCAGTGCGCAGTCTGCCGGCTCGATGTCCGGCTTGTTTTTACAAACCGTCTGGCCAGCTTGCACCCTCAGCCAGTATTTCACTCGTGCAGGCGGATAAAGCTAAGGGCCAGCAAACGACACAGGCCACTTATCATAACTAGATTCAGTAGGAATAACAACAATGCTCTCCCTGGATGACCCTGTCACCCCCTCTCCTCGGTTTAATTCCTGCTCCTCTCACACCCCCCCCCCCACCAACCTCTACAATTCCCAGCCCTCCTACAAACTCTCCCCACTTCTCAAAAAAAAAAAAAAGGTTTATTAAAAGCCCAAATTTGCATGACTAGTCTCAATGGCTGTCCTTTCTTGTGCCACCACTAAGAGAAATTAATTCATTTTGGTATGATTGGTTCAAAATGTATTCACTTCCAGATTGACGGATCTTTTTCGAACTTTGCAGAGACAAACACTTCATCGCAATAAAAAGATAATTGTCTGCTGTGACAGCGGACCAGTTCCAAAACCATAAGTCCAGGGACTACAATAATGATCATTAATATACCGGTATGACTTGCAAATTCCCTTAGTGTACATCAAAACACAAGAAATTTAAATTTTGTTATGATATCTGTATCAGTCTGCTCTGCGCTTGTCCTGAACATTTGTACCACAAAACTTAACCACAGATCTACATGAAAAAGAACAAACCTTGATGTCTCACAGATACGGTCACTTTGGCACAATTCCCTCAGCCCCCCCCCCCCCCACACACTGCAGGCATACACATGGGTTTCTAAATCAAATCTGCTTCAGCAACATTAATGCTGATATCCATGCAGGAGAAACCACACGGTCACATCGGTTAAGTTAACTGCAAATGTTCATTAATTCTTCAAGCCTGTCATGTCAAATGCATGGTCATATCTGCTAAGCAATAATAATAATAATAATAATAATAATAATAATAATAATAATAATAATAATAATAATAATATATATATGTCATATTCCCATAAATGTCAGTCACCAGCGAATTAAAACATGATGAACCTAAACATGATAAAGAACATGCTGGATGAGCAAAGGAAAATGAGGCAGGTGATATTTAGCCAATTTACTTGGGCATTGGCAGACTGGATGGCCGTGACTTTGAAGGCATAAGGGTACCCATTCATCTGGTTTTGAACACCGATGGCATAGGCTGAGGCTCTGAGAACTTCTGGGCTGCTGGGACTGACGGCTTCGGAGCTCACAGGTCCCGGCAGGGAGAGCATCATGGCTGCTAGAATCAGGACTGCTATCATCCTTACCTGAACAAATCAGAAACAAGATTAAAGCAAGACTCTGCCTGAAACCACAGCAAAGGCTTCAATAACAAACTGTGTATTTTGAACATGTAAACTTAAAGCAATATATTTAAAAAAGCATAACCCAGAGAAGAAGAGGGAGAACAATGGGTATAATCCATGTGACCTGTTCTACCAGAGCAAAATGACACGTATATCCAATCCCCCTTCTTAAACAATGAATTTAAAACATTTATACAAAACTCTTATACTTCAAGGGTCTCTTTCATTCTTCATATGCATTTATGTTCATTACTGACTATTACAATGTTTTATACAGATTATATATTTATTCCCTTTCCGTTTGTATACCTGTGGCTTCAGAGTAAAACACAGAAACCAAAAACTACGCTGATTCCTTTCAGTTTCTTAACTATAGTACTGTGGTGATTTGAACTCAATCACTATTTTTGCCCCACTTCTGACTTTTAAGGTGTGAAAAACAAAAACATACGATATAGGATACACAGCAACCGCCTCGTATATTTGAACATAACTGATAACTGTTAACATGACGCATAAGAAGAATACCTTTATAGACAGCACAGTGCTTAAGATCCTCCCTGCAGAAAGATATATGTTTGTCTTCTGATGATTCTTTTCAGACGTCGAGATTTTCTAAAATCATGTTCTGCCGGACAAAAACATGTCATCCGTTCGTTGCTGTAGGAAACAATAGAGCAGCACAGTTGTCTTTTGGCATTTTATAATACGGGTAAATATGAGCAGCTGACCAAACATGAATCCAAACGACGCTTGTTTTTCGCAGCTTCCTCGTCACGTGACCTCGAAGAAGGCCCGTAAATAATTGCCCGCTAATCTGCCTGCTGGAGAGAACACAGCGTTGCTAGGTTGACTTATTATAAGCGACTTTGGGTGTTTTTTTCGTTTATAATTTCATTCATTTGCGAATTGCATTTTTTTGGGCTTGATCTAATTTTGAATTTGTGGTGTTAGGGTATTGCTGACTAGTTTCAGCCATTTTGGCTAGCTCAGTTAAAAGAATTTAGATATTTTTACATCACTTTATTTAAATTGATGTTGAATGAGTCGTTAAAGCTTAATGAAAATGTTTTGCAGATATATCGCATCGTTTTGCATCTCTCTCACATTTTGTTTGTGTTATGATATCTGTGAGTTCAGTATTCAATAAATTATGTAAAATGTGTAACAAATGAAGCTGCTTAGTTTATGCAGAGTTACTTACTGTCACGCTAACAAAAGAAAAGAACAAATAAAAATTTTAGAACCATGTCCCCATCCCCAGTATTTTAGTTACTATTGTATGCATGTTATATACTATATGGACAAAAGTATTGGGACACACCTGTCAATCATTGAATTCATTCAGACCCATTACCACAGGTGTATAAAATCAAGAATGTAGCCATGCAGTCAGGTTTACAAACATTTGTGAAGGAATGTGTCGTTATGCAGAGCTTAGTGAATTCAAGCATGGTACTGTTATAGGATGCCACCTTTGCAATAAGTTAGTTTGTGAAATTTCTTCTCTGCTAGATATTCCATGGTCAACTGTAAGTGGTATTGTTGAAAGTGGAAGTGTTTAGGAGCAACAGAAACACTTCCACGAAGTTGAGACCGCATAAAGTAACAGAGCAGGGTCTACAAGAGTGGAGTGGTGTAAAACACATGCCACGAGACCCTGGAGCAGTAAAAACATGTTCTGTGCAGTGACAAATCACAGTTCACTGTCTGGCAGTGTGATGGACAAGTCTGGGTTTGGTAGATTCCAGGAGAACTTGACCTGTCTCATTGTATTGTGCCAACTGTAATCTTTGCAGGAGGGATAATCGTATGGGGGTGTTTTTCAGGGGTTGCGCTAGGGCCCTTAGTTCTAGAGAAGGGAACTCTTAATGCTTCAGCCTTCCAAAACATTTTGGAGAATTCTATGCTTCTAACTTTGTGGGAACAGTTTGGGGAAGGCCCTTTTCTGTTCCAGCAGGACTGTGCCCCACTGCTCAAAACAATGTCCATTAAGTCATGGTTGGGTGAGTTTGGTGTGGAAGAACCTCACTGGCCGCACAGAGCCCTGACCTCAACCCCAACCCCATGAACTAGAATAGAGATTGCGAGCCAGGCCTTCACATCTAACATTAGTGTCTGACCTCGCAAATACTCTTCTGGATGAATGGGCAAAAATTCCCACAAACACACTCCAAAGTCTTGTGGAAAGCTTTCCCAGGAGAGTGGTAGTTATTGTAGCTGCAAAGGAGGGACAAACTCCATATTGATGCCTATGGATTTAGAATGGGATGCCATAAAAGTGCCTCGTAGGTGTAATGGCATGGTGTCCCAATACTTTTGTCCATAAAGTGTATTTATGAGGAACACGCATAATATGGGAAACAATGTGATTGTGTGTATTGGACTTATTTGGGTTTGATTTCTCCATCTGTACACAGTGGGCTTATTTTGGGCTTGTTTTCAGGGATGATGTTGCTTGTTTGTCTCGTGAGACTCGGCAACACTACATACACACTGCATAATTTTTATTGTACTGCTAGTAAAGGATTCCCAGAACCTGCAACCTTAGGATTGCCCCAATACAGAGTGGATTAGATTGCTCTGACTGCGCACTGATATGGAATAAGTAATGCAGGGGCTTATTGGAGGATGCTTTTAACAGTATTTGTTTAAAACATTATAATGTGACAATAAGGCTATCAATGTCTGAGTGTCTCAAGTCATTAAATACAATTTACAAAAAGAAAAAAAACATCCTAAGGTAATATCAGGACGCTGTACATTTGAAGCCTTACATGTAATGTAACTTAATTCCTCGGCTTGTGAAACGTTTGGCTGAATTACTTACATTTTCAGATTAAAGCATTGCTTTTTCAAGATAATAACATGGCTGAACACATACATCTTTCACACCATTTATCTTAGTAGCTTCAGCTCTCTCAAATGTATTTGCAGCAGGTCATCAGTCATGATAGCTCCAAACATGTTTAATTCATATAAATTCTTGTATTTTGTGATTCCCACAAAACTGCTAAATAGTTCATATAGTTACAAAGAGCAAAAAAAAAGTTCCTATAAACTGCAGTCAAACCTTTTATTTATTTATACATATATACACTCACCTAAAGGATTATTAGGAACACCATACTAATACGGTGTTTGACCCCCTTTCGCCTTCAGAACTGCCTTAATTATACGTGGCATTGATTCAACAAGGTGCTGAAAGCATTCTTTAGAAATGTTGGCCCATATTGATAGGATAGCATCTTGCAGTTGATGGAGATTTGTGCGATGCACATCCAGG